GTTCATCCGAATTTTCGTTCAACGGGCGGAATTGGACGAAAATTACTAGATATCAAAATGGTGGGTTTTCCGTCCAGACTTTTCGTCCACTTATTAGGTGTTGGATGCTATTTCCGTCCAATATTGAGTGTTGGTTGGATATTTTGACGATGAGTTTTCCGAATCTCGATTTTGATCGGTATGTTGGTTGGAAGTTTGATTTTTGTCCTAAGAAAGCTGGTTACCATCCAACTTCCCTTGGTAAAAATGGTGAGATTTCTCGCCGTGGTTTTTAAATATATAATTTTTGTATACAAATACTAAAATTAACATTATGAAAAAATTGAATTAAAAATAACTTCAACCAAACTTCTTTAATTGAGCTAGACACATAAAATGTGATGGAAGGAATACAAAATATAACTTCCATATAAATTCTCAATATATTTTCTTCTATATCTCTTGTAAAATAAAAAATAACCTTAAGTTACTCGAGCTATTAGTCCGTTCATATTCCCAACATATTCTTGAACCACATTTTTTTCATCCTCAACTCATTTACACCAAATTCTGCACCAAAATTTATTTCTAGACTAAAATAATCTATATCATCATAACTTAAAAAGTTATATTAATACTTTTGTTATTTTAATATAACATATATTTGTAATTTAATACTGTGCCAAATATGGTGCAGTACTATTATATTCACCCCTGACCAATCTTTTGTTAGTTGTTTTGGCGTGTTGATTGGAGGTAATTTGCATCAATTTTTGTGTGAATATGTTATTTTCAAGTGTTGGTTGAAGATGGTATAATTTATACAAACTTAAACTTTTTTTTTTTGGAAAACAAATTTAAGCATTATTTAAAGATATTATTATATTAGAAGACTAAAAGTTGACATGTCTCCGTTGGCTAGCCAGCTTTCCAGTAAATAACTTTAGTACAAGAAGCAGATTATTTCACAAATTATGATTAAAAAAGGAAGAATATAGTCATACTCAACACTAATCACTACTATAATTCAATAAAAACCCCATCACTGTGACGCTCACCATCACAGCAAAACATCATCTTATCGGCTCCCTCTAAAACAAAGTATTTTGCTTCAATGGAGGGCCCAAATTGGCTTGCCTATGCAGTAGCATGGCTATCCACCATTGCACTTATCCTCATTGCCAAACATCTCCGCCGGAGAAAGCTTCATCTACCGCCTGGTCCTAAGACATGGCCCATCATCGGAAACTTGAACCTCATCGGCCCCCTCCCTCACCGTTCCATCCACGATTTGTCGCAGAAATACGGCCCCATAATGCAGCTCCAGTTTGGGTCCTTCCCGGTGGTCGTCGGATCCTCCGTTGAATGGCCAAGACTTTCCTCAAAACCATGGACATCAACTTCGTTGACAGGTAATACTGAGTCTGTTTGGCATAGCTTATTTAAAAGTTTATAGCTTTTCAGCTTTCAGCTACCTTTTCAGGTTTAAATTATGCTGTGCATCCGTATGCACCATGCGGTGCATGCATACAGATGCAAAAACGAAGTTGTTTTATTAAAAGCGCGCGTCTCACTTTAAAAAAATCAGTTTCGATTCCCACCAACAACATTATATTGTGCATAATTTGAACTAAAATTCCAGAATCTATGAACTAAAATTCCAGAATGAATGAACTAAATATCCATAATGAATGAACTAAATATCCAGCATGAATGAAAAAAAATCAGTTTCGATTCACGTCTAAATATCCATAATCAATGAACTAAAATTCCAGAATCTATGAACTAATATTCCAGAACCTATGAACTAAAATTCTAGAATCTATGAACAACATAATGCTGTTGAGGGGAACCGAAACTGAATTTTTTTTTTTTTTTTTTTTAAGTGAGATGCACATTTTTAATAAAACAACGTCGTTTTTGCATCCGTATGTACCAAGCATGGTGCATATAGATGCACAGCATAACGATCCCTTTTCAGCTACCTAGGTTTGTCAAAATAGCCAATGTCAATTTATAACCTTTTTTTTTAATATATAAAACAACATTCTCTCCCAAGCAGACCCAAAATTGCGGCCGGGAAGTACACAGCCTATAATTATTCCGATATTACTTGGTCCCCATATGGCCCGTACTGGCGGCAGGCCCGGCGAATTTGCATCATTGAGCTATTCAGCGCCAAGAGACTTGAATCTTACGAGTACATCCGCTCCCAGGAATTGAAATCCATCCTGCGCCAGCTCTACACTGCTTCCTCTACCCAGAAACCAATTCTCTTGAAGGACTTCTTGTCCACCCTCAGCTTGAACATCATTAGTGGGATGGTGCTCGGAAAGAATTACCTGAATGAATCGGAAGGAGGAGCAACTGTAAGCCCCAATGAATTCAGGAAGATGTTAGACGAGTGGTTCTTTCTCAATGGGGTGTTGAACATCGGCGATTCCATCCCCTGGATTGATTTCTTGGACCTGCAAGGGTACATTAAGAGGATGAAGGCTTTGAGTAAGAAGTTCGATAGGTTTTTGGAGCATGTTGTTGATGAGCATAATGCTAGGAGAGTGGCAGAGGGGGATGGTTTTGTTGCTAAGGATATGGTGGATGTTCTGCTCCAATTGGCTGATGATCCTAGCCTGGAAGTCAAGCTTGAGAGGCATGGAGTAAAAGCTTTCACCCAGGTTTGTATTTCAGATCAGACAATGTTTAGCTGGTGGTACAGAGAGCTCCCTAACTTATATGTTTATTCATTAATTAGGACTTGTTGGCTGCTGGAACAGAGAGCTCTACTGTGACAGTGGAATGGGCAATTTCTGAGCTCCTAAAGAAGCCAGAGGTAATCAAGAAGGCGACAGATGAACTAGACCGCGTGATAGGGCAAAAGAGATGGGTAGAAGAGAAGGACATGCCAAATCTTCCATACATCCAAGCAATAGTTAAGGAGACGATGAGATTGCACCCCGTGGCACCGATGCTGGTTCCACGCCTTTGCCGTGAGGACTGCAAGGTTGCTGGATATGACATTCCTAAAGGCACTCGAGTCTTGGTGAGCGTTTGGATCATCGGGAGAGACCCAACATTATGGGACGACCCGAATGAATTCATTCCTGATAGGTTCATTGGAAATGACATTGATTTCAAAGGGTGCGATTTTAAGTTCTTACCATTTGGTGCGGGAAGAAGAATATGCCCTGCCTATAACCTAGGCCTCAAGGTCATTCAAGCTAGCTTGGCTAACCTCTTACATGGGTTCAATTGGAAACTACCGAATGATGTGACTCCGGATAAGCTCAACATGGAAGAGATCTTTGGGCTTACTACACCAAAGAAAATCCCACTCGCCACTAGCATCGAGCCAAGGCTTCCAAAGCATGTCTATTAGAAAAGTATCATTTGGAGTGTAAGTGTGTAAGTGTGTAACTGTTCAAGTTAATAAAGAAAGTCCCTCTCCTTTACTGTTAGTCATTTGCATCACTTTTTTAGTGTGTCCAAATTTTCCAGTGTGTCCACCATGCCATGTTTAGATATGTCAAGGGATGTCAACCGCTTACGGAGTAGCATGGGCATGCGGGACAATGCATGATCATCCGCATCATGATTGAGTTGCAATTGTACCAAGGTCAATGAGATTGGGAGTCCATGTCCAAGGAAAAATAATAAAATCAAGTACACATGGATGGTGCCTATTGTAATATTTTCCCTAATAATATATATTATATATTATATATTAGAGCCTTAATTAAGTGGTACAAGTTGATTAGGCTTATTAAGTGGTCTGGTTGGACTAAATAACTAGAAGTTGTTAGTCAACCAAACTTTGTGCCTAATATAAACCTGGATTGATGGGATACAGGTTTATGAATTAGACAGTACATACATATACGGTACTCATACTGCTCAGTTGACACCAATACACCATCTAGGGTTCTGAGTCAGGTATGAGGCAAAACTTGACTAACGGTCTACCGTTAAGAGGCAACACAACAGGAACATCAACTGTGGCTGGAAATCAATACTAATATTCAGTATAGTTAGATTATTTGTATCTAACACCTAGAATTCCCACCATTGGAGGAATCTAATGGTCAAGGTGTGTAGAAGTTCGTGGGTATCTATAATATTTTTGCTCGTCAAAGACAACTAATAAAAGTGTGTGGACTCGTGATGGGATCATAGGGGCCGGGGCCGTTAAATTGGCAAAAAGAGGAGGTGTGAAGGTGGAGCAAATTATATATAGTGAGGCGTAGCTAAGAGGATTCAAAGCCACTACTACAAGTCAACTACACAACCACAAAACTAATAAGTTACTCTACATTTTTTGTATTGAAGGGCAGTAGGCTATACTTATTGGTGATGACATGATGTGAAGGACAACATGACATGTAGTGGGAGTGAAAATAAGACACGGATATGACCAAGAAGGGAGAGCAACCAAGACCATACACTTGGTAGCAAGGGAAGGAGGTCTAGACATTCTAAAAGGGGTCTCATGTCTCCCTTTGGACATCATCCTTGAGTTCACTCCATCCTAGATAGCTTGGCAGTGTACGTTTCAAACATCCAACATAGAGACCGGGTTCAATTCTCAATTGTTATTGCATGAATGTCCGAAATCTTTGTTCACCTCAAATTAAAGTGAAACCGCAAAATGTGAAAATAAAGAAGAAAAGTCACGCAATTAATTTAAAAAAAAAAAATGGTGAACACGGTTCATACCCGCAAAATATCCGAAATCTTTGTTCACGCAATTAATGGTGAATACGGTTCTATGGCATAACGTCCCGTTCACACCCCATCACCATCCTTAATTAGATATAGGACTACAATATTTGTCTAAAATCTAATGATACTAGTAAACTAATTAAAACGCCAATTATGTACTTAACTCTTAAAAAAGTTAAAAAGCAAGGCTGAGGTTCAACAACATCAATAGGATTTAAACTCGTGATCCAGCATTTTATAGTCATTACTCAAAACCTTTACAGAAAGTGGATAATTTTTTTTACAGCAGCAATTATTGGACCTAGTTAATCACTAGGTATACACTCAATCCCCGCCACTTGTATAAAGCCTTTCCAATTTGCTGCTGTCATATCACGTATTGAAATATGTACATTTCCCCTATCGTCGTTGTCCAAGTAAAATTCCCCAATATTTGCTTCAAGCCATCCATGCGGTTCCAGTTCTTCCACATAGGATGCCCAGTAATCATCATCATGAGGGAGTTGCTCGTTTACCCCAGGCCCAACCGCATTGTTACTCCTAAAGTACACTAGACGAGCAGAAACCGGCCTGCCACCGATGCGAATATTACAGAGAACCTGGTCAGGAGCATCATTCTGTCCCATGAACTCCGGCAGCATCCGGAAAATGAATCTCACTGTATAGTTACAATTTCTAGATAGAAGCACAGGATTAATCAATGCATTCAACTGCAACCACAAGGGGTTAATCAAGTCCATGCATCTTGGAAACCTAAGCAAACAGAAAGTACATAGTAAATTACTCATATATTGTAATATGCGATGATTCAGAGCTGATATAATTATATATATATACCATAAAGGTCGTATCGGAGTAGATATAGAAGATTCTCTCTGATGAGTTCCGTCCATTATTACTTCATCAAACCAGCTAACATTAATTGACGTCCCCGCGTAAAAGTACGCAATATGACCAGTATTTCTATTTAACAGGATTTTCTATCAAAATAAACCAAGGAAAATTGAGCATTAAATTTTAAATTACTGCTTAGAAACAAGAAAATCACCGAAGCAGGAAAGAAATGCGTAGAGTTCTCAAAGAAAATACCTGCGCCACATTCCTGTCATTGATACAGACGGGATTCTCAGTCAGGTATAGAAATAGCGTCTTTCTTGGCAGGGTGAGAAGATGATCGGCATTCGGCAATCCTTCAATCAGCTGTCTGAAATTTGGTGGCAAAAAAGTGTTCCAAACTAGGTCATATCCTGCCGCCCTATTAAACATCTGTGATGTAATAGTAATTGAACACACAAAGCGTGGGTCTGTCAAGCAGAGTACACGAGTAAGAATATCCTCCATTTTCAAACGAGTACGAGCGTGAAAAGGAGAGAATCCAGCACAGGAGAAAATATAAAGAAGGAAACGGTGAGCGTAAGAAAGAGAATAACAAGAAAGAAGCGGTGAGTGGAGAGAATATTCAGAAAGCAACGTATATATATGAAGGCGGCAAGAAAGATTGAAAACATGGTTATATGAAGGCGCCAAGAAATATTACAACACATATTTCACAAAAAAAAAAAAAAAAAAAAAAAAAACTCAGGCTTTATATGTACTATTTTAGACCTAGAACGGCCCCGCGGTGCGGTGTGGTGTTTCGAATGGTGCGATATGGTGTTATACCTCAGGCTTTATATGTACTCTTTTAGACCTAGCACCCTGGGTAATAAAGCTCCTATTTCCGTACGCCCGTTCTATAACTATATGTCCGGTACTATTTTGGGCCTAGCGCACCCCCCATTCTGTACCTATATATCCGGTACTATTTTGGGCCTAGTGCCCCGGATAATAAAGCTACTATTTTCTAACCCCCCGCTATATACCCGGTTTATGGTGGACCCGGTCTCTATAAAACCATGATATAAACGACAACAGTTAAAAAATAACCACCGTGGTCCTAATTTTTTTTTTTTTAAAAAAAAACCCAAGTTTAAAATGACCACGAGACATCCTAAAAGGACCACTGGTAGTTATTTTTTAAAACATGAAAAACCATTGACGGTCATTTAAAACTCAAATGACCACAACTTGTAAATCGCTAATACTCGGAGGACCATTAGATGTATTACCTATATATATATATATATATATATATATATATATATATATATATATATATATATATATATATATATATATATGAGGATAAGTACATTATAGAGGACTGTGATGACAGATGTAGTGTGTGCCATTAGACTGTATGTCTTGTGCATGGCCGAATGTAGTTGTGTGCCACAGTTTGTATGTCGCATGCATACATTTGTTAATTAATAGAGTTTGAGTTCGAAACCTGATATTTACATGTATTCTTGTGTGCCATTATGTATTAAATTGTGTGGCTGATATTAATTTGTTGTGTGCCCATTATTTATCCGCACAATCCTCTATATATTGTTGTCCTCATTTGAACTCAACCATATATATATATATATATATATATATATATATATATATATATATATATAGAGGGGTGATCACATGTGGCCATGTTGTTAGGTGTGGTCATATGGTCAATTATAGGCCATTAGATTAGATAGATCCAATGAATCATATTAATTAAGATTTTTCCAGTATTCTCGCGCACATTCTCCTACCCAGCGAACTGCAAGGGTAAACTCGTCATAAAACACCGGAATAGGGAAAATCACATTGTTGTGTGTTTTATTACACTATTGGTGCATGTTGTCAACACTGTTGGTGTATTCTGGAACCCGACCGCTATAAATGGTCACTGTAATTACCATAACACGGGAATACACCATTGGTGTGTTTCACTGTGGTGTGTTTTATTACACTATTGGTGTATGTTGTCAACACTGTTGGTGTATTCTGGAACCCGCCCGCTATAAATGGCCACTGTAATTACCATAACGCCCCCACTTAGCAAAACGCGCTAAAATCCTCAGAATTACCACTGTCGTTAGATTAAACTAATTCAACGACACAGATACGACCACACGACCACACCTAATGACATGACCACATATGAGCGCTTTTCTATATATATATATATATATATATATATATATATATATATATATAATTTTATTTTTTAATTTTATATGATGTATTACATTGATTAAATAAAACTGAAATATGATTTATTATATAACATCGTTTTAATATTAGAATTGATCTTATAACTTCAATTATAAAAATTTTAAAAATTAAAAAAATCCCTCCAAACCTAAATCTAAAACCCTCCAATTTTAAACATACACTTAAATATTTTACAAATTCCCTCCAAACCTAACTACTGACTAGTGTCACTGTGTTAGTCACTTAGTCAAAATAAACCCTAAATCCCTAAATCCCTAAATCACTCTTCAATTCTCACCGCTTCACCTACGACTCCACGAGGCTGCGACACTGCCAACCTGCCGTTTGCTACTTGCTGCGGTGCTGCCGGACTGCCTCTGCCTGCTCTAGACGGTAGCGACATGTTGTCCTGCTCTACCTATGAAGTACGAACGACGATCTACGGCGAAGAAGTTTCGTCTTCAGTCCGGTCGATCTACGGCGAGTCGGTCGAATCCTACTCCTTCAAATCATAGTGTAAGACTGTAAGTTCTCTCAACTTCCATAGCCCATACTCCCCATAGCTGTGTTCTGGTTCTAGACTTCTAGACTTATGAAATATTTTTTTTTTCAGAATGTATTTTGGGCTGAAATTATTTTATTTTGTCATTGAAATCTGTTCGTTCGTATATTTGTGATGAAATTTGTATATTTTGTCATTGAAATCTGTATATTCCATAGCCCATAGCAGTATGCATACTGTTCGTACTTCATATTTAGTCACAAATTCACAATAGAGTTGATTTTGAAATTTGGAAATCTAGGCTTCGTAAACATTGTAGTTAGACTGTGTAATATACCACACTTGTGATGTTGAAGTTGAAGTGTTGAACAACAGAGTACATTACAGATTTGTACATTATAGTTAAATAACTTAAATTTACATATTTGAACACATTAAACATGTTCATTGTATAAGAGATCTGGTTTATTGAGAAATGGTGTTGTTCAATGCGTTTGGTATAAGAGATCTGGTTTAAAATAATAAGAGCTTGATTTAAAAACGTAGGTTGCGAGACTTGATTTATTGACCCCATTAGACTTGATTTATAGCCTGCAAATCCATTAGCCAATTGTTATTGCATGGACCATGGTCCACACAACTTGTGTGGACCATGGTCCAAAACGGCGCCTCTCTCCACTTAAGGAGAGACGGCGCCGTTAGATGTTTATTTATTTTTTATTTTTCTAATCGTTATTATCTTACCAGAGCTGTGGCCGCACTTTTCCTTCTTTTTAGCGTTTTCTCCACCATTTTTGTCTCCAGAGCTTCGCCTTCTCCAACGATTCTTCGTCTCCAACGCTTCGTCGTCTCCCCTGCTGAAATGAAGAAAAACTCCATTGAGACAAAGATTCATAAGGTATTATTCCTACTAGAGCTTCAAACAAGAATGTATATTATTTCTAGATTCTAACTAGGGTTTATGCATTTATACCTTTATAGTGGTTTCTCTGCATTTTTTTTTTGAATTTTTTGTTGGTGAATCGATTCATAGAACATGCAACATTTCTATCTAGGGTTTTTGTTGAATTTTCTGAGTTTATTTTTATGTGATTTTAGGAGGCAAAACACCCAGAAATTGGAAAACACAATATTTTCAATTTAGATGCTTGCGATGTTGAATGTTGTGATATAAATGGAAAACACAATATTTGCTGTGTTGGAGTGTTGAACACAATATTTATTTTTTGGAGTGTTGAACAGTTTTGGAGTGTTTTCCAATTATTAAACTGTACACAAAACTGGAAAACATCACTCCAACACAAAACTCCAATTATCTCACAAACTGTACACTGTTTTTGGTGTGATGCACTTTATTCTTAAATATTATGATCTTTATGTTTAAAATTGGTTGCTGAGTTGATTATTGAGTTTGAATACAACCAGTTGGTGCAATTTAGCAGTCCACTGAAAGGCTTAGGCCATCATTTAGTTCTTTGTTATAATTTGCTGAAAATGTACATTATTTTTTTCCCCTAGTGTACATTATTTTTTCCCCTAGTGTACATTATTTTACAGTGTTGGGTTTTAAGTGCATCAGAATTAAAATTTCATTCAATCTGAAAATGTACATTATTTTTGTCCTTCATTACTCACTCTTTTACAGTGTTGGTGTTTTATTTTATTTATACAGTGTATTCTATCTTGTTAGCCACATCAAAATATGAATTCAAACAAAGATACTGCTGAAACGAAAAGAAAATATCGAAGGAAGAGGGATAGAGTAGTAGATAATGAAGGAACATCACAAGATTTGTGAATACATGTGCAGGCCAATATCCTAAAATCATTGAGAGCAAAGTATGCAGCATGCATATTAGTGATGGAAATCAATGAGAAAAAAGAGGAATTGCTGAAGAAAGCAGGCAAAATATATGTTGCAAAATGACTTTATATGTTCATCAGATTTGAAGTGGTTGATATAGTTAGGGGAAATTAAATTTTTGGTTGACAAGTGCATTATGCAGTGACAAAACTCATGTAAATTTTAATAGGTTATTATGCTTCAAATAGACCTAATTAGGAAAGATATTTTTGTGATGACCCCTATTTTGAGTATTAATTAATAGCATTTGATTTCCTAGTATTACTTAGCTTTTATGTGTATATATGAAATTTTCATTCTGATGAAGTTAAAAACCAACAGTGTAAAATAATGTACACTATGGACAAATTTCCTAGTATTACTTAGCTTTTTGTCCCGCCTTTATTAGATAATTTCACATTTCATCTCCATGTATTATGATTGTTGCATTTAGGGCAAAATTGTCATTTTATACAATATTTAGTCATTTTTGGCCTTTTGGGTTATCTAATAGTTTACATAATGTACATTATGTAATAACCCATAAATTACACTATAGAGATAAATCGTACTAAAAATATCATGTGCGATGAATTGACTAAGAGAGTAATAGTAAAAATTGAGTGATCTTCTGGTACAAGATAATAATTATTCACTAAATGTGAATGTAGATTAATAATTGACCAAAATTAAAAAAAAAAAAAAAAACAAAAAAAAAAACAATTCATTTATAAAACCCCCCATTAACTTAAGGTAAGTCCCATACTTTAGGGTCCATTTGGAAAGCAGGAAAATGACTTTTGGAAAATGAGTCATTTTCCGGAAAATATTTTCCTTTCCAGTGTTTGGTTGCATTATGGAAAACTGTTTTTCTGTGTTTAGTTCATTTTCTGGAAAATGAGTAGAATTGTATAATTAAATATTTTAATTATTTTATTTAGAATATTACAACATGTATAATAATATAATATTAATTTTAAATATAATAAAAAATAGCTAAGTTTTTCAAAAAACAAAAAAAAAAAACTAATAATATATCAAAAATATTATGGTGGTGGTGATGGTGGTGTAGTGGTAGTGGTGTTATTCGTTATATAATAATAATAATAATAATAATAATAATAATAATAATAATAATTGGTGGTGGTATGACGGTGGTGGTGTGGTAGCGGTGGTGGTTGCGGTGGTATGGTCGTGGTGGTGGCGGCGGCGGCGGTGTGATGGTGGTGGCGTTGGTTGCGGTGGTATGGTGGTGGCAGCGGCGACGGTGGTTGCGGTAGTATGGTGGTGGTGGCAGCGGCAGCGGTAGTGGTGTTGGTGTGATGGTGGTGGTAGTATGACAGTGGTGGCAGTGGTCATGTGGTTGCGGTGGTGGTGGTGGTGGTGGCGGCAACGGTGGTTGCGGTGGTATGGTGGTGGTGGTGGCGGCGGTGGTTGCGGTGGTATGGTGGTGGTGTGATGGCGGTGGTGTGGTGGTGGTGGCGGTGGTATGGTGGTGGCGGTGGCGGTGGTAGTGGTGGCGGCGATGGTGGTTGTGGTGGTGGCGATGGTAGCGGCGACGGTGGTTGCAGTGGTATGGTGGTGGTGGTGGTGGTGGCGGCGACGGTGGTTGCGGTGGTATGGTGGTGGTGGCGGCGACGGTGGTGCGGTGGTATGGTGGCGATGGTTGCGGTGGTACGGTGGTGGTGGTGGTGGTGGCGGCGATGGTGGCGGTGGTGGTAGTGGTGGTGGTGTGATGGTGGCGGGGGTATAGTGGTGGTGGCGGCGGCAATAGTGGTGGTGATGGTGGTATGGTGTTGATGATGTTGGTGGTGGTGTGATGTTGGTGTAAAAGTTGGAAAATGACTTCCCCAAAAAAAGGGGAAGTCATTTTCCTCCAAAACAAGCCTATTTTCCAAAGTCAACGGAAAATGATTTCCGTTGACTTGATTTTCCAGGCACATCCAAACACTGAAAACTTGAAAAATGATTTTCAGAACTCATTTTCCAGGTTTCCAAACACACCCTTAGTTGAATTGTAATTACAATTCAAAGAGTAGTGGACACATTTTCATTGTTGTTGGTTAATGAGATTATAGTGATAATAGATCATGAATGTTATGTTTTGATTTGCAATTAAATTAAATATTATATTATACTTAATATTCGAGTTAATTCAACTTTAAGAAATGTACACACCTAATAGATTAAGGTTGGTTCAACGGCCTCAACCTTCAATTAGTAATTTAGGTTGATGTTTTACGCAACAATACTATTTTCCGGTTAAAATATGTAAGTTTAATTTAGAATAGGAAAATGCTTTATTCCCCTACCAGATTTCTTATCCACTATTTTTTGGCAAATCCACACCGCTGTATTCAAAACGACGTCGTTTTGATGTTAAAAAAAAAAAAAAATCATTGCACCACGCGCGTGTTAGAATAATGAACTATTTGAGGTAAGATAATATATTTTATGAGTTAAAATAATATCTTGTATTATGAAATTATGTACCTTATGTTATGAAATTCTCCACTTTACGAGTATGAATTATGTATCTCTTCGTTTTGATTCACAGTTCATAATATTATGTGGACATTGGTTCATGATATAAATTGTCAGAGCGTTATGCTGTGCATCCGTATGCACCATGCATGGTGCATACGGATGCAAAAACGACGTTGTTTTGGCGTCTAACTTAAAAATAAAAAAAATAAAAAAATAAAAAAAAAAATTAGAATTGCATAACTACACATACATAATTTCACTACGCATCTAGAATTTCATAAATATACATCCAGAATTACATAATTACACTTCCAGAATTGCATAACTACACATCTATAACTTCATAACTACACATCCAGAATTGCATAACTACACTTCCAGAATTGCATAACTACACTTCCAGAATTGCATAACTAAAAAATTCAAAATGAATAACATAATGTTGTTGCAGGGAATTAAAACTGAGTTTTTTTTTTTTTTTTTGTAAATAGAACGCGTGTTTTATGCAAAACGACGTCGTTTTTGTATCCGTATGCACCATGCAGGGTGCATACGGATGCACAACATAATTTGCCTAAATTGCCCCATGTGTGCGTGCCTGCGCGGAATGTGTTTTAGAAAATGAATTGGCCCAACTCTGCACACTTGATTGAGGCCCAATTATGGATGATGCTGTATTTCCCGATATGGATTGCTACATCTAAATATCAAACATTGTATTTAGTGAAGGTACATTATTTGTGTAATGAGTGTACATTATATTGTATAATGTATATTTCGTAAAAAAAATAATGTAGACATAATATATTAAAAATGTACTTTTTGTTATGGTCCATACAGCAGTACTGTGTGGACCAATAATTTGCCACAATCATTATTACATGGACCATGGTCTATAAAGCTGTGTAGACCATAAATAAAAAGTACATATACTTTTATTAAATAAAGTACATTATTTTATATATACTATCAAATAATATATTTTATCAATTAATATATTAAAAATGTACCTGATATTCATGGTCCACACGGCTATATGAACTATGGTCCACATAATAATTTGCCATAACCACCTGATGCTTAACTCTCGTATATTGTTGAAACTTTTTGCAAATAACTGCCAAATTGAAGCAAGAAAAAAAAAGTTCATTCTCACTAAGGTATTAACTCAAACTGAAGCAACATGAGTATATTTAAATATGAGAGTATAATATCAACAAAACTACATGTATCCAAACTAAATAACACCAATAAATTCTATATTTTAGTTTTCAGTCAGAATGGTTCGTTCAATTTTTTTTAAAGAAATTTAAATAAATTATAGCTTAATTTCGTTTCGTGATTTTAGAATTACGTACTATATATCTATAATATCTATAATTATTTGTTTTGTAAACAGCCAATTCTCATGTTATTATATTGCGCTGAGAGTAATATAGATTAAGTGCTCAACTATATTATTGTAATCAATTTTATGTTGAGAGATTACAATTTTAAAGAAAAGTGTGTATTACTCATGACTTGAATTTTCTTATTTCATTCTTTTTCCTTGGGAGATTATTTTCTAAATTTAAGTTCCGTTATTTATTTATTTAAGTAGAGAAAGAATTATTAACTTTGGGCATTGGTGGTCCTAATATAAGATGATGGATGTCTTTGATTAGAAGCTAAATGGTGAACACTTTTCCTGCAAAGGGGGTGTGTATTTAGGCAACAAGGGAGCAAATACATAGTGGAAAAGGGGGAGGAGGATTGTCGTGCACTTTAGGCAGGATAGCCGACCTAGGATGATGAATTTTTAATTTGCAAACTATAAAAAGTGTATCATCATTCCTTGTACTCGGATCATTTCTCAACAATCTTTATTGTTATTTAGTGTGAATAATGGGAACATTATTGGTTTGGTTGCTCAAGAATTGAGCACTTTGTAAATGGATTATATTATTACCGGATATCGAATATCTAATATTTAATGTAAAATGTAAAAGAAATTAATAAGAACAAGGACATTAATGAATTATTCATGAGCGGTTTGGTATGTTTTTCACGCGTCACGTGAAAGATAAAGCAGTAAGATTTTAGTATTAATTGTGAACTTTTCAAAAATTTTAATTAAAAAAAAAAAAACTTTAAAAAGAGAGAGAGAGTCACACACCCGTAGAGATTATTATTTTATGTATTGTTTTATTTTTTTCTACACCCTTCTACTTAGAAAAATTTGACAAAAAATTCACATTTTAGATTTACTATTTTGTTTGCTCTAAAGAAGACCCAACATCTCAGCTTCTAAGGGAGTTGTTGCACGAAACCTTCGGGCGATCCCGCAACCCAGTTTCCATTTTTATCCATGAGGACCTCACACCTCCTGCAAGGCTGTCAGTTCATTTTAAATATTTTTTTATTAAAACATCCCATTTTTGTTATAGTATTATCGTTACATGACCATTTCTTGTCATCCGTTAACAAAATCGTTTAAATATCATTAAAACAAACTCGTATTTCCAACACCACGTGGGTGGAGTGGGAGGTGTCTCCTTCCAGCGTTAAAGATGCGTTGTTGTGTGATTTGAGTGCTTTGCTATGTGTGAGTACTATCCCGGAAGGGTGTCTGTTGTAAGGCACCAAGCTTGGCCCTCCCTTTGATCTAGGAAAAAAAAGAACTATTTGACACATTCTCTTAGCAAATTGAAACCTTAAACATATGAGCTTTATGAGAAAAATGTGACCAACACAAAAGGAGTTCTAGGTACACATTCCACGGATTTCCCTTAAAAATTAAAGCATAGACAAAAGGA